AAACCCCTGTCCGGGAAAAACCCGGCGGCCCCCCCCCCCGTTTTTGAGGCCTGGGGGGTAAAATTTTTAAAGATTCGGGAAAGCCCGCATTTGGAGCCCCCCCCCCCCCCCCCCCCCCCGCCCGCCGCCCACAGGCCTGTCGATCCTGTTGATCCCGTTCTCGTTCGACTTTGTCGACGCCGTGTGCATCGCGATGGTGCTCGGCTTCTTGTGCGAGGCTGGCGACAAGGCGGTCGTGCGACTCGGCACCCGCGTGGGCGGCAGCAAAGTGGTCGTCCTCGCTGCGGACGAGGGCGAGCCAGAGACGGATTGCGAGGTCGGGGAGACAACGGGCAAGACCGTCCCCTATGGACTAGATGCTTCGAGAAAAAATTCCGCCAGCACAGCAACCGTTCCCCTCACCAGGAGGCATAGCACGGGCCGCCTTTACTTGACCCCTACGTCGCCGTTACGCGGACACGGGGACGCTAGGGACGCTTCAGGCAGCAATTTGCCGCGCTCGGCTCGCACTTCCAGCAACTTGCTTCAGAAGGTATCTTCCCTTTACTCGAGCCGGCCCTTCTCTAAACTCACGTTAATAAAATCTGGGGCAGCTCTGCACCCCGGTAGTGACCTCGGCGAAGAGACGGTGATACCTTCCGCGCATGATGATGACACCGGTTCTGTACACTGGGGACTCGCTCTTGTTGGGCTGGTGCAGCTGTTGATGTCGGCCGCTGATGACTACGTCTCCGACGTATAGGCCAGTCACACCGGAGCTAGCTTCCAAAAAACGTCAGCGCAGGAAGCTTTAAACGGCCGCTGGGGGGGCAAAAGGTCGGGGAGCGAGAAGACGTTCAAAGTGGAGAGAGAATGCATCACAACCAGCTCGTCGTTCGGTCGTCCGTGCTTGGGGGCTTTCTGACGCGCAGCTGGAGAGGAAGGGTTCGACTATTTACTGTACGGATTTCCGGGGTCCTGTTAGGAAGGTCGACTCGCCCGAGTTCAAGCGCAAGGGGTTGCGGAACACATGATTGGATCTGGGAAGACGGCACATATGGAAGGGGTTTCGAAACACATCATTGGGTCTGTGATTAACTGCACATACATGTGGAAGGGGTTGCGGAACACATGATTGGATCTGGGATCAACCCTACATGTACAAGGGGTTGCGGAAGACATGGTTGGATCTGAGAATATCTGCACATGCTCAACGGCATTGCAGAGGGTTCTGGTCGGTGTAAAAGGGAGACTCGAACCCTAATGAAAGCAGCGTAGATTCACTGCCTAAACGTAGCACGACACCACGGAGGTCATAGTGTGCGCTTGGTACAGCTTATTCATCGAAGTGGCCTTCTTGATTCGGCCGAAATAAAAACGAATCAAACGACGAATAAGGAGAGACGTGATCCTGAGGTTCAGGTCACAACATTACTGTAGTAAGTAGCAGGAGGACAGGAGTGGGATATATTGCGCTGAGGAACCATAATGTTTTGGGCGCTCCGTAGTTGTGGCGTGTGTCACCGCCTTCGGAGGGTGTCATATTTATGCAACAGCGCGTCCTCCGGAATGATGCAGTGCCGACAGTATGGGTGGGGTGGGCCGTCTATCCCAAGCGTCCCACCTAAGGCTCCGCGGAAATATGTAGGAGAAGCATACAGGGGTTTAACGCCTACTACTCAGCTCTAGTCCCGGCACATGACTTCACAATATGACCCGTGATTTCGGCTTGCTCTTGCTTGGCTCTTGGACTGCCTGTTGGAGCCTGGACTCCACGTTGCGTATCGGGGTATTGTTCCGCCGTTCCGACAAATGAGGGCACCTTTACTAGAGGGGATTTCGATACAAGAGGGTCGAAATCGGTTATCCCGGATTCGACGCGCTATTATTGTTTAGCTCTCGGCACCCTCTTTTCCGGTGCAAGGGGGGGCTCAAATATCGGAGGCTAGGGAACCTTTGTCACACCAACCTCTTGTGTCGAAGCCAAGACTGTTTTGAGAAGATGCGGTTCTTAGTGATTAGGTTATTAGTGATTACGCGTCAGCTTGTTCTTGAGGATTGTTTGCTCGTGGTGCCCGCATTTGCACTACACTTACTTGCAGGAGTTGGCGGGAAGATACATCATGTTGCACGGGAATCTTATTAGGGAGTAACAAGCAAATCCTTGCGTAGTCATGGATGATGGTACTTGATGATGGGAGACGGACAAGGACGTCGGAGCCGCTCGAGAATGATGCGGTGGCCCTAAGTCAGGAGACGAGTGGGTGGAACCATGATGGTTGGTCATGCAGGTATTCGAGCTGGCTCTGCGCGAGGGTGTTGCCTGCCACGTTTAATGCACCGGGGGAGGGGTGGGCTCTTTTCGCAGTCAGTAGAATATCGGCTGTGCACGGGTTCGCTGTAAAGTCGTGCGACAGGAGGGGAAACGACGGGGAATAATCCTCGGCCATGTATAGACTACAGCTTGCGGGTTCGAAAACAAAAAAAAACGTATGTAGGCGTTCCTCTATACACTACCTACCCTTGATTCCCTCATGTCGTAACACTGTGCGTGACAGTGTTTGGTTTATGTTGAGGCCAGAACTTGGTATTTGATTGACTGACTGTGGCTTGCGAGCACATGTATGTACAACAAGCCCATATACACTGAATGTTTTTGAACGGTTGTTTCGTTCGGTTTTTCTTGGGCAGTTGGCCTATGACCACGGAAGGCACCGGCGTCTGCTGGAGGACCGGTACGGTTCTTTGAAGGTGCTGTGGGCAGAAATAAATCTGAAACGGTACATGTACCGTGACTTCAGCGACGATTGAATGCGGGACACGATTTCGTGAGAACTCAACGAATTCGACGTCTTAACGTCTGACGAGGGAAAGAAACGGCCGAATCATCTGAAGTGGACGACCCGAGATCTTTTCCCACTCCGGACAGTGGTAAACAAGAGCTGTTTTGCTTCCAAGTCTCCAAGTTTCCAAATCCATCCGTAGACCATCCATCCGTAGACCATACAACCTCGATTTGCGGCCGAGAAAAAGTCGTTTGGAAGTTTGGAAGGAAGCAGAACAGCTGCTTTGATAACGGCCCTCAGCAACTATCCGTCATTGATCATTTCCTTCCTCGTCGGAGCAAATGAACTGTGGCGATAATTGTTAATTGGTGGCAGTTCTATCCGGCGGTAAGGTCTAGGCGGTGGTATCGTTCGACGGTGATTCGCTTTGGCGGGACCACGATTCACCAAGAAGCATCATGATGTACCATGATGCTCTCCGAGGGACACATTAAGAATCCACGGGTGCACCCATGTGGAGAGATGATTCTCATCACCGGAGGAGTCGGCGGTTTTTCGCTTTGTCGATTCGTAGAAACCCTCCACGGAATGCATGGGCCACGATCAAAACCTTTTTACTCCCACACTTGGGGTGCGCCACACGTGCGACGATATCTTGGACCTGTTGCGAACGTAAGGTGCTATCGAGACCTCACAGCAATGAGAGGGACAGCACGACGATTGCCCCGCCAAGACCGACCGAAAACACTTAGCTGGTCATCGCAACAAACGGCGGGTGTTATTTACGAAACGTACACGCAAACAAACACAGGGAGAACGGGCGGTGGCCGAGAACAAACGGGCGGAGCTTTGACAAGGGACCTCCGAGGCCAAGGTACAGTACCTCAAGCACCGAAGCCAACCAACAGTCGGCACGGCCCGAACATTGACTGCGTCCGTCTGGTAGCAACCAATCGATCATTTTTCTGTGACCAGGAGTCGGATCACCTCCATTGAAAAGCTAAAACTGTCAGCAGAATCGGAACTCCAAGAAGAGAGGAAAAAAACCAGCGGTGTTTTGTTTCACCGTTCGGTGTATTTTTTCAGGTTCATTTCTCGGGTTATTTTTCCCCGGATACATAGCATTGAGCCTCAACAGAAAACTAAAAGTCGAGACAGCGTGAGACGTGCGCGCAAGGCCCCGTGCACATAGCACCGCTACTCTCGTCCAGTGGCTTTCGCAGTTTTTTTCGATCATGTAGACATGTTGGATAAAGCACGAAATCGGGGGAGTTACGTGAGGGTTTTGTGGTACAAGGTTTAGCGATACTTGGGTCTGCGTACCCCCCTCCCTGTTAAATTTCCTCGTAAACACTTTTTTATTGCGAATAGGGGTACGCAGAGCCGATCATCCCTAACCCTAACGCTAACCCTATAACCCAACCTCCCCGATTGCATGCTACAACTATATCCAACATGTTAACAAAAATGGAAACATCCTGCGAAGGCTACTGCTCCTGTCCTACCATCCCCCGCCTCGGGGCTCGAGCGGCATCGCCTCCACGCAAGCCGACAGCAGCGACTCCAACCTTTCTCTGTTCGCCACCCTCGATCGCTCAAGCGCGCTGCTCCCCGCCCACTCCATCCCCGCTCCCTTGCCGGCGTTTCGGTCCCAAAGAGCGGATTCTGCTGGGGATGAACTTCCCGCTAACAGCTGCGTCTCACTACAGCCAACCTCTTCTACGGCCGATGTGGACGGAAACGCCTGTCTGGTGTGCGACGCCGGCGGGCGATGTCGTCGTTGTTGTTGTTGTTGTTGTCGCTCTGGCATTGGCTGGTGCTGGTGCTGGTGCTGGTGCTGGTGCTGGTGCTGCTGCCGCTGCCACTGCCGCTGCCGCTGTATTCGCTGCTCTTCCAGGGTGGTCGTCAGCGCAGTTTCCCCAAGTCGCAAATCAATCCCCTCCGCCAACCGCCGCAGACCTCTTCGTAGCTCATCACTTTCGAGACTGGCACACAGGTTGGGAGATACAAAGTACGACATGCAGATGGGCTTGAAACGCTAAGATATGAAAAACTGCGCTTGGACATACAAGTACGGCATACAGATGGGCTCCGGAGTGTGCTGGGAGATACAAGTACGGCATAAAGATGGGTTTGAAACGCCGGTATTATGAGCAACTAACTGCGCGTTGTTCTTGGCGGTTTCAACGACCACGCAGAACAACAGCGCGGGAAAAAAAGGAGAGCGAACCTGTGGAGTTCAATGTCACCGGAAATGCGACGCTCGCCGAACCAGATCGGCCCGATCAGCCCTCCGGCCGCCGTTCCCCGCTACGGAGTCACACAGCTGTCTGGCATGGCGGGTATTTGGTAGGAGGGACGCGGCTTTCTTGTATCCACTCGGATCAAGTCAAGCCAAGAAGAACTTCGCGTCAAAATCGAAGGACCTTCGCACTAAGGAAAAAACAAAAAAAAGGTCATGGTACCCCACTGTGCATTGAATTCGGGAATGAGGAAGTGCCAGGGTTTTGTGTTTCCGGGGATGTGACATTGCAGTACCTTGATCCGGAACAGAAGCAAAGATTCGTGCCGGTGGCGGTGAGGCAGAGACAGCCAACGCACGGCACCGAGAGAACAGGGATGGGTGCCGTGCGGGTTCTGCCGATGTTCGGTCGTGGTCGTGCCGTCCCAGGGGGTCCGGCACTTGCGTGGCCGTACGTCCTACTGCTGAGAAATAAAAGGCCCTAGGGATATTAACAACAATCGCACCAACAAAACCTTCAACAACAACAACAGCAGCAACAGCAGCGCCACAAACGATAACAACATGGTACCAATCAGCAACAGCAACAGCAGCCAACAACAAGTGTATGGTTGTAATCAAGACCCAAACCTCTCGCCAATTGCGCTCGCACGCAGTGTGTTGCCAGACAAAAAAAAATGCAAAATCGGTCACCAACCTGCCCGTCCTCGTCGGGGCGGAGCCATCCCGTCTCGTCTGCTCTAACATCGCTGTCGCCGCCGATAGCCATGGCGGCACGGTGCTGCCTGCGGCATGCGTGCCGGCGGCGGGGGGGAGGGCAGCCCTTACGCGCCTCTCCAGCCCCTCCTGCAAGCACCACGTTTGTCGCAGCATAGCATCGCGCAAATCTCCCGTCGTTTGGTTGTCCTCTGGTGGTTCAGAAATCGTTGCCGCCGCTGCTATCAAAGACGACGTGTCTTCGGGCAACCTGGGTGCACCTGTACTCAGATTTGCAAGGAGTGAGAGAGGAATTCAGAGAAGGCAGAGTAAGGTTGGCCCAACAAGACATGGATGGCTGACGTTGCATACTATTGTTCACAGGACATATCGTTCACGCCAGCGATTTTCCAAGGACCAAAGCCAGGGCTCCATCCCCACTCAGTGGTGAATCTCCTTGGCGCGATTGGTGTTGTCGCTGTCGTTGCTGTTGACGTCGTCGTTGCCGTTGTGACTTGCTTGTGATGGTGTTGGTAGTGGTGGTGGTGGCCGTGTTGGTGGCGCTGTGGAAAGGTCTGTCCAGCCCTACTATTGTACCGGTCGTCACAAACGGGCAACACACCAGCACATCCAGGGTATACCCAGGTTATACCCATCTACGCGTAACGAGGGTGGCTTACAAGACATAACAAATAACGCATAACCGCCTGCAGCACGAGGCACGGCCTTCAAAAGTAAAAGCAACGTCTCAGGTCCAGAACATACGCGAGTTCTCCTTCTTGGCAAGATGGTATACCACATCATCCCCCACAACTAGCAAGCTCGATCCCTGTAGCTGACAGCCCCATCGATTTCAGTCAGCGCTATCCGGAAAAAAGCACTTGAGAGATCTTGTCCGGAATTTCCATACTTAAAATCAAATGAATGTCCGAAATTTCAATATTTCACATCACCGCCACCGCCACCATCAAAAGGAGCCAACCACACGACGAGGGATTGATTCCACAAAGGCCGGGCAACCGTCCCCAGTGCCATCAAACTGAGAGCACTAGCGGCGACGCGCAGGGAACATCTTCACCCACCCGTTGTAGGTAGGTCCTGCTGTTCTATCACCCCATGGAGAGGATAGTAAGGAAGATAACGACTGAAGTGTATAGCGTTCAGAAGTCAACATAGTCCCTTCCCGTTGGGGCAACAAGTGGGTACTATCAACATTTCCAGGTACCATGATCCACGAAGCAGAGCCCGGTCTGCAGTCGCCCCCCGGGAGACAAGTTCTAAAAACAACGGGGTAGTATGCAGTGTCAAGTGCTAGGAGATTCCGCCGATGCCACAATAGTAAGCACACCCTATCAAACGGGGCATTGGAGGGATCAAGAATACCGTCACTTGAACGCACCACACCCGACTCTACCAGCGGGGGGCCGTGGCCTCTACTTCTGCATTGTAGTGAAGACGCTCACCGGGGGCTCTTATGCTGCTGCGTGTCTCCGTGAGGCATCCCTCCATTACTGATGTCGATAGCCATTAGGTTACAAAATACATTCTTCGCGGGAAGACTCATCGCCATTTGGTCTCCTTACTTCTCAAGACCGACAAAACGCCCCCCCGAGGGCACGACAGACGATTTTCCACCGAAAAAAACTCACCCCACGAAAAAAAAAAAACAAGGTCCCACAGGAACGCAAAAAGCCTACCAGTCAGCCTCCAAAAAACCAACTCACCTCTACTGCCTGCTGCTGCGCCGGAATCGGCGCCGCTTCGGGGGGGCGCCGCCGATTCCGCCGCCACTAGCGCGGAGGAAGCCCACCGACACCACCGACCGGCGTGCTCGCGGCCCTCATCGAGCGCGTCCAGCACCTCGCGGGCCCTGGTGACCTTCGCGAGTGAGCGGGAAAGTTCTCCCGGCGGCCTGCAGGCCACCAGGCACAGGCAGAACGGGGACACCTCGGCACGCGGCGTGCATTTTTTTCTGCTCGGGCGTTGGCAGCGGCTCGTCGTCTTCGTCGTTGGTTGGGTCGCGGTGGCTGCTGCTGCCCCCGCCCGCCCGGACATCGCAGCAGCGTTGGCTGTTCCGGCGGGAGACGTGCTCGTGGCGGAGGGTTGCTGTTGTCGTTGCTGCTGTTGTTGTTGCTGTTGTCGTTGTTGTTGTTGTTGTTGTGGCTCCGGTCTTGCCTCGGTGGTCCGCGGTGAAGCTGCAACTTTGCCACTCCCGGGTTGGGATTCGGCCACGTCTCGGAACAGACTTCGCATTCTCAGGAGCATTCGCTGCCTCGCCGTTTCTAGGCCCTAGAAGTGGCAATCAATCGCGCGAGGTCAGGACGGTATTTTTCCGGGTGGGATATGGGCGTGGGTGGCGTGGAAGGGTAGCGTGTAACCGTTCCCGTTCGGCTTCACTGCCGCGTGGGATATCAAAACCGGGTATCTAAACTGGTGCACATACCCCCGGTTATTTCATGGGTAGGACAGCATCATTTTATCAAGGGTAGGATAGCATCATTTTCTCAACTGCCACAGTATGCTACAAACAAGCCAGGTAGCCTCCTTCCGTTGGCTGTCGCCTCTAGAGGTACTACCTTGTTCAAGACCTCGCCGCTCAAGCACGCCTACAATACGTTTGGTGACGTTCGCAGCGCATGCCTTGGAAAGTGCACCGCATGGAAAAAAAAATGTCTTGGGAGGAATCGACCAAGAGTAAACACGACTGCGTACACATGCCATGTGTCAAGCACGATGTCGCCAGAATCCGAAAACGGTCACAGGGAACACCGGGCCAGCCCCCTCGACGAGGCAGGAAAAAGGAAACGCGCCTCCCACAGGAGAGCGCGGTTCACCCATCCGCCCCGCTCGACTCCGCGCCCCGCCGCACCTCCACAACCCGGAGCTCCCCCTCGAGACCCCCGTAGCAGGACATCATCTCCCTCGCTGCCCCCAGAGCCCTTGCCATTCCTTCCCCCTTGGCTTCCGCCTCTCCCATCCGCACCCCCTCCTCCTTTCCCAGACGCCCCCCCCAGTCCGGCGGAGGAACCGATCGCCGTCCTTCCGTGGCCAGGAACGCCGCGAACGCTTCCGCGGAAACCCGCCGAACTTCCGGGGTCTCGGAAACGTCCCGCGGGAACGGCGGCGGTGTGGGTGACGACGCCGATACATTCTCGCCGTGCGGGGGTGTTGGGTTGGTGGCGGGCGTCGTCGTCGGTAGGGGCGAGACGAGGCGAGCCTGCTCGAAGGCCGGAAAGACTTTTGCCTTCGCCATCATCCAAGAGAGCGCCAGCAACACCTGAAAAAAAAAAAAAGCGTGGTGGACGAAAAAAAAAACGGAAGCAGGAAAACAGGGAGCGGGGCGGGGTAAAGGGATCGGGGGGGAAGGAAGCGGGGGGAAAGGGGCCTGGAAGGGACTGGGGGGGAATTGAGGGGGGGGATGAACGGGAACAACGGGAACGGGGGGAGAAGGGAGCTGGGGTAGGTATCATTGAGTCATACTGGCCCCACAGAACTGCGTCTATCGAAAGAGCATTTTGGAGAATAACTCTATTCTTTGATTTCGTCGCCGGGGAATCTGACAGCAGTACGTGGCGAGTCACCGGTACGGTGCCCCCGATAGCTCCATGTGTCGCACGCGAAAACGAGTCCCAAAACCTGCGTGCTCTCTCCAGATATGTACTGCGCCAGTCCTGCACCCACGTGCCGCCATCGTTGTCTAGCTATGCCCAAACAACAAGGATAAGTGCAGCCATTGACGTTAGACAATACCACCTACCAAAGAGGGGGGGCTCGGAAGGTAATTTCGACGGTCTGCTCTTGTGCATCCCGCGATGGTGCAACTCACGAGGGGGAACGACCCCAGGCGCATTGTCTTGGCAGAAGAAACAACGCTAACTACGATTCATCCCCACATGGCTTGATCGCGTTTGGAGGCGGGCAGCTTGTTGTCAGAAGCGCAGCGAAGAGAAGGTTGACGCAAGACCTTGTATCATGAACGAGTGCGCAGGGCCGGTGCACGTAGGAAGAGGACCACCCCTCCACCAACACATTCTTCCAATGATACACGAAACCCCCTAAACACGGCATTTGCAGACAGCATCGCGAGAAACCGTGAGAGCTCTGTGGCAATGTTCTAAAGTAATCCTGCCGCTTGGATGCCGCCCATGCCCCAACGACACACCGAAAAAAAGAAGCAAAGTCGACCAACCACAGCCAGCGTCCTATTCGATCGAGGGAAGAAAGTTGGACAACAGCTGTGTATAAAAAAAAGAGGTGATATCTACAACGGATTACTTGAACACAGTTCCAGCACCAACCTCTCGTGTCTGTAGCACATCGCAAGCCTTGATTCCTTCGATGAAAGCCTTCCTCCTGATACCCGATTGAGCGGGGTGCCCGGACGATCGCGATGCATGTGCAATTGTCGGGGGTACATGACGACAGACAAAGTTTACGAACGAGATGGGGGGGAGGGGAGAAAGACAAGGAAGTGGAGAGGGAAGAGAGAGAGAGACACGGAGAGTTGTTTTTGTTGGCCGGAGACAGGCAGCCAGGTACAATGTTGGAGAGGGAAGAAAAATAATGCAAGGCAAGAAAGGGAGGGAGAGCAGATAAGCGCAGAAAAAGACCATGATGGCTACTCTGTCCATCGCGAAAACAGCCCCATCATCAATCGGGCCACTATTTCCACCGCATGATGAACTCACACAACGTCCACTGAGGGGTGGTCATGCTCTCAAGACTGGTCCTGTTGCGGTAGGTTTGATGGTGTCGTGCATGCGACCCTCCCACTGGTGTTTCAGAACGAAACAGTACGACTGTTCGAAGCCCTCACCAAGTTGTTGTTGTTGACTTCACATTACAAAAAAAAACAAAAAGTCCCCACGAGAATACATTCCAAGAATCGCAAGCCGCCACGCCAGAGTGCCCGCTCTGTTGTTACCTTTCGACACCCCTCCCAAGTGGTGCTCAGTTTACCGCACCACCACGCACAGCGACGAGCCTACTACCTACCTGTATCCCCACATCGGCAGCAGATGCCCGCACGTTTCCATCGCCACGGGCAAGGGCACCTCTGCGGACGCCCCCAGCCTTGGCGAGGCCGCCCCCTCACCCCCCCCCCCCCCAACCGGAATCCGCCCCCTATATCTCGCGCCGTCGTGCTTCGACCTCGGCGGTGCAGCTGCCGAGACCGGCACCGGCACCGGTCCAGAGAACGATCCTCCAGCGGGTGATCTGGTCGCTGCCGCAGCAGGCGTGTTCGGGATTGTTTCCGGTCTCCCGGGAGCGTCCGCCGCCGCCGCCGCTGCTGCCGTTGTCGGGCTCGCTAGCGCCGCCGCGGGCGCTTCTCTTCTTCTCCTCGCGGCGTCGAGGTGGAGCAGAGCGACGCGGAGCAAAGCCCTCCACATTTTGGCAGCCTTATTTTCGAGGCATGCATTTTGTTTTTTTTTGGTGGCGCGGGTTTCCGGTCCAGCGGTTGGTGGTCGGGTAGTGACGAGGAGGGGGATTCGTTGTCAAGGATGAACGCGAGTGGCTAAAAAAAATGGCATTATCTGTGAGAGTGTGCGTTTCGCTGGGGGCGTCGAACGTTGGCAACGTTTACGGTTCCATGCGAAAGAGAACTTTGCACTTACTGCTGCTACCGTTGGTCAGCAACGGGGGACAATAGAGACTAGTCTAGTTATCTCCCATGAGCGTGCGTGCGCCAACCATCGCGGTGGGTGCTTGCAGCCGAGAAGAAGATCATTGATAACGACCGGTGACTTGCGTAGAGATGTACTCACACCCGTTCCACCTCAAGCGTACAACGGGCATCGCGATGCGATGATGGTTCTCGAAAAAAGTAAGTATTATGCTACGCGAAAGCGTCTACAACGTGTAAATATATTTGGACAGCACGGGGGAGGCGTTTCAACGTCGTGGTGTGGACGCCAGTTGATGGTTACAGGCGCCCGTTGCAAAAAAAAAGGTGATTCAAGGCAGTCGAAGCCGATTCTGCAAACAACGAACATTCCGGGAAAAGGCGTCCAGTAGAAATATTCATGACATGCTCCACAGCACAACCGATGGAGGTTCAAAGTTCCAGACGCCCGTATCTTGGGTATTTCGAACTCAGGGTGGTGTAAAGGCAAGGGAAATACGAGTTTTGGAGTGTCCACGAGAACCCTCCCGTACGTTTCTGCGAAAAAAATGATCAGTCCACTGCCCTGTTCATGTAGCGGTAGCATTTTGCTTCCTCCTTGTTCGCGAAGCTTCCCGGTCTCACAATGGTACGAGTTGAAAACAAAAGCAGAGCTTCACTCGTACCCTCTACAATGCGGGAGTGAGACACTCGAGAAAGGAAAAAAAAAAAAAAGTATCTGCAAACTGTTGTGGGTGGCGGCCCAAAGAAGGGAAAAATCACAGATGGGTTCCGACCACTCGAAAGGCGGGCCCGGTAAAAAAAAGGTCTTGGGGCAAAAAATCTAGGCGGTACGACCTACAATCACGCGCTCCTTTTTTCACCACTATCCCCGGTCAAACGTTTGTTGGAACGCGTCCGCTCACCACTGCCTCTTCCCGCAGCCCTCTCTTCGCTCTCCGCAACACCTCCGGTGTCAGCCCCTCGACCCCCATCCACTTGAACACCGCCTCCGCGTGAACAACGAAACCAGGGGGCTGTGGCTGCTTCTGATGCTGCTGGTGGTGCTGGTGGTGCTGGTGCTGCTGGTGGTCGTGCTGGTGCTGGTGCTGATGCTGCTGCTGGTGCTGGTGCTGCTGCTTCCGCAACGGCATCGACGTCAACGGCGCCCCCCTAAACCCCCCTTTTCCACGGTTACCACTCCCTGCTCGATCGTCCCGCGCCCCCCCCGTCCGGAACAACGACCCGTCCCCGCCCCCCGCACCGGAAACACGCATTTCCAACTCCGACTCCCCGCCCGGGCCGTCCTCCTCCTCGTCGCGGGGGTGCTGCCGCTCCCGGCCAGGGAGATGCTGCCGGCGATCGCCGTTGGCACCCCTGCCGAGCCCACCATTACCGCGTGGTGTTGGGTAAGGGTCCCTTCGAAGATGGCCTCGCTCTCGGGCTTCTGGTAGCGACCGGCTGTTGGTGCCGAGGCGCTGCTGCTGCAATTCTTCTTCTTCTTCTTCTTCGGGATCTTCCCGCAACGGGCGGAAACTGTTCCGATTTATTGTCTCTTGTGGCGGTTCTCGGCCCGGCTGCTGCAGCGGCGGGTCGCGACGACGCGCCTCCTTCCAAGACGACGAGAACGATTCCAGTCGCGACAACAGCAGGTTGCTGCCACCGCCCCGAACATCTTCCGCCGTGCCCAAGTCCAGCATCTCTCGTCGTGACGGGTTCTTGCCGCCGTGCTGAACATCGTCAGCCGTGCCCAAGCCCGGCGGCGGCCGACGGCCGCCTCCACCGCCTCCACCCGCTGCAGCACCTGGTTCTCCCACGAGCGGGGGTTCCATCACCGACGCTCCTCTCGCCGATCGAGGATCTCGACCACCCCGCCCTCGAGTTTCCCTTCCCCGCCCGCTACCGCTCGCTGCTGCGGCTGCTGCCGCGTGCTCACGCGACGCCATCGCGCCGACACCGGCGGGGCCTTGTATGCGATCCGGCCGCAGAGTTGTTAGAATGTGTGCTGCCTGCGGGCCTGCTGCCGCACGATAGAGGTGGCGGTCGTAGCAGTTAGTTCGGCGGGAAGTAAGTACTGCTTCCTCGTGTGCTGCAGCTCGCCGTCGTCTGAAAATAGCTGAGAATTTGCGAGGAAGCTAGCGTCGTTGCTCGCCTTCGTCTGAAAATAGCCGGGAAGATGCGAGGAAGCTATCTCCGTGACGACCATACGTGCGGAAGTCACCGCGTGCTCAGCGGCACCTTACTGTGTCTTCAGTGGGGATTTGGGCCGCCGGAGAGACGCATTCATAGCCTGGTGCGCCAACACAGTACAGGGCCAAGCGTGCTGACGTTTGTTTTCGCCGACCGCGGCAAGGTGTCCTTGGAACAACAAAATAGGTGAATGACTTCCTGCTGGAGGTCCTTTTGCCTATCCCCGGCGATCTGCTGTTGAGGGACGGTGCGGGCGTCGGGGGGGGGGGGGGCGTACTCTCATGTTTCGCATTGACCACGCGTCCTCGAGAGGACGGAGCATTTTTCCCATAGGATCGATCGCCGATGGCTAATCTTTCCTTCCTATTTTGCCGAAAGGTGACTCAAAACAATGTTTTCCTAATATCCAACACTTACAGGGCAACCTGGTACAAGATCCAGCAGGAACGTCGTGCTGGCATGCACACCGAACGACGAAAAGTGTCAAGAAGTACATTTTGGAGTTGGAGGATGATTACGTGTTTGAATATGTTGGGTTTGGGGTGTTGCGTGTGTTTTTGTTCTGGGTATTTTTTACTTTTCAGGTTTTGGGACGCAATATCCTATCGATATAACTTTCCTTCCTTTTCCAGGGGCTGTGTCAGGCGTGGGACGAGCGCCAAGGGTGAGCAGTACCCGAGCGGGGAAACACGACGTCGCTGGGCACGTCGCCGACAAGTTGCCGAGCCTGCACTACAAGACGCTAAGGCATCGCAGGATTGCCCAATGTGTCAGTTGCAGCACTACTGCTGTAAGGAAGATTGAGTGTGGACACGTGCGGTTTCCAAGTGTCTTGAGTACTGTCTTTGAAAACCGGTCCAGGGGGTGCGGTTTCTTGTGTAATCTGCGGTAGTTTTTTTTTTTTTCTTAAAATGACACAACGAATCCATCTCTATCATAGAGAGTCTGAGACAGATTAACAATGAATTCATAGCGTCAGAAAGTACCTGTATGTCTGCGATTTCCCAGACAGTATGTATCAACAGCGGTGAACTGCTGTGCTACTGTACATACGTATGCACATGCGTGGAGGGAGCACAACTTATGCAGTGCAGCTATATGGGTATCGTGTAGCAAAGGCAAGGCAACTCATACAACGTGTCGCAGCTGCGTGAGGTAGCGAAGCCTTCGTCGGTCGTGTCTCAAGGCGGCTGAATTACAAAGCTCAGGGCTACAGCAGTACACTGTAATAGTACGTTAGTAGTAGTCTCGGTTTTGAAATTCAAAAGTTCGGCTCGGCCTGCTGCTACATACTGATAGCACGCCGCCCACGTTCAGTCCTCCAACTGGAAGATCTCACCTCCAGCAGGACTGGATAGGGTTGATATAACGACTCTAAACCACCAGCTGCTGGTTGAACAGTTGAACAGTCCCGCCGGCGGCTGGGCGGCTTGCCGCGCCCAACTTGCCGCGCCGCTCTCGGGGGACCGCAAACCGCTCAAGGGAAGGGGGGTTGGGGGTTCCGTGCGGATAAACTGCTGACGTTTCGGCAACTCGTGGACGCACCAACATGTCTACCGTCCTGATGTCCTGATGATTTCATTATTTGATCATGGGCGGTCTGTGCTTGCTGCCGTGGGCCATTCTGGCGCTGTAACTGTATGGAAAATGTAGCGCATCGACCACCGTGACACTGTGACACTCCTGTGTGGCAGTCTGTCTAGAGCAGAGACCACAGGTCTTGTCCGGAGGCGTTCTATAGTGGCCAGCTTTATTGCGGTGTATGTTGCTGCTGCAGGATCACGGGCCGGATACGCAACCGAACACGACCGACCGTTCCGTGTAGGTCGATCAGGAGGTTGTCCCGGCGCTTCCTCCTTTCGAGGCAGGAGGGATACAGAACGGGCCCGTATGTTAGGGTCTATGTAGCTCTTTTTTATTTTTCGGCAACAAAAAAATACGGTTAGAAAGTACATACAGGGGAGAGAGACAGAAATAAATACAGCAAAAGAGACAGAGTGTACTTCTGTAGACAACAGCTATCTCCACCCAAAGGCCATGAGGGAAGCCCGCGACAGGACGGTAGGCACAGACAGGGTCATAGAAGGGTTGATGCAAGGTTGCGGTGCGGCCGGTATGGCAGGCTTGTAGACCTCGAAACGATCAGTCGTCAAGCCTACAAGCTGGTCCGGCCAAGACAGCCGGGACTCGCCAATATGACCACGCGACGCTGTTTTTTTCGAGTTAGAACCTAAAATTTTGACACGTGATTTGGGACGTTCCCCTCAAGATGCCAATTAAAAACCCTAAAGCATTTTTTGCTTTTTTCCCCGAGATATGGCCAACTTCCGCTTTTCCAGGAATACAAAGACGGGCGTAAGTCGGCAAAAAAAAAAAAAAACGCTTAGGGTTTTCAATTGGTGTCTTGGTGAGATTGTTCCAAATAACGTCTCAAACTTTCAGGTTCTAACTCGAAAAAATCAGCGTCGCGTGGCCAATTTTCAAAATTGCCTTCGTGAGAGGAAAATGGACGAAACACGTGTGTGTGACGATTCAACAAGCCCGGAGGAAACTTTTGAAGTGGAAGAAAGGCCGATTGTGACAGAGATTGACACCTCG